AGGATTTTGATAAAGGTACTAAAATAATTGGCTTCGGTCCCTCTACGTGCATCCCTCTTCGTTCTTCGAATCTTTCAAACAGTCAGTCTCGCACAACGACGGCCCCGTTAAAAATTCAACTCGGCACTCAAACGCGAGTGTCGAGCAAATAAAAAGTCGTCGAGCCGTCAAAGGACGAGCACGGCGGCTTAATTCTTTTCGCGCTGAAAGGATTTTAATAGAACGCGTTCTTAATTCTCCGCGTTTCGCTCTTTTAATTATACCATCGGCCTCGTCCTTCCGGTAAATACCAGTACTATTTATACGCGCGTACGTGTATAATTGACCGGCCGGAGAAACGGAACTGTTTCTGATAAACATAATTTGCTCAGTCTTCTCTCGATTTTCATATTTACCTCACAATACGTAATTATTCGATACATTAAATATTTATTTACTTTTATCAGTATAATACTATTAAAATCAACGTTAGATATCACATTACATGATCATTTGAAAGCTGTAAGCATTTCGCAAATTCCAATAATAATATGCATTATAGACGGGGACCGATCGGGAAATCAGAAAAACTTCCGGGAAAAGTAAAAAAAAAAAAATTAATCTTGAAATTTATATCAAATAAACTTTTACAACATGCTGTGCAATAATTTAGCGTTAGTAAGATTAGTGGCGTTATGGAATAGCAGATGTAAAGTGAATATCAAAATACCGCGCTAAAATTCACCAAATGACAGATATTGATTGGGACGCAATTAATTATTGAAAAATTTGTTATTAACGGTGCATCATTAAGCGCCGCGTTGCGAATGTAACGTACTTTTTCCGAATCCGTGTCCGAATAAATCCGACCGGGTCGATATTCCGGTGGTAGGTACGCGCGAGCAGTCTCCGGCGGTGCAAGCTGCAGCAAAACCCTACCACGTGGTGTCAATTCCAGTGTGTGTGGAGTCACCACTGGTCCTGCTCTCGAACCACCCACCACGCCTCCATCTGGAACAAATATTAATGGGAAATATGAATCTGTCGTCAGACATATAAACTATACTAGGGTACCTAACGTAGCGAAACAGATTGGCATGTCCTAAGCTAAAGTAATATTAGTAAATCTCTATTGTATATCTTTTTGAAATTCTTTCACATATATAATGGCAAGAGCTGTGTTTGAAGATGACATTATATAGTATATTTTTATTCTTGAGAAGAGAAAACTGTCATTTGGTAATTTAATTTTTTATAGAGAAAATTTTTATATTTATACAGCAAAAAAAAAAAAGAAATAAAATTTGTTAATAATTTATTTAACAACGAGCAGAAAAAATAAAATACATGGAAAATCTCTGAATTAATTAAATCGCATTATTCGCATCCAGAAATCTTTTTCTCTTGTGAGATGGCGATTCGATGTACTGTAACTTATCAATCATGTTTTAATATGTTGTATAATCATGATTTATCGCTCAAAACCATGATTATATTTGTGCCAAACTTTACTTAAGGAGAATTAAAGTTATAATTAATTCTTCGAGTAGTTAGTGTATACGGGGCGGACAGGCTTAAAGGCTGACGAAAATTGGTCGCAGGTGCATGTGTGAGGATCTTCTGTTCGGCAAAGGGATCTTCTGGAAATTACTCGATTTATTTATCGCGATCGTGCTTTTGCTCAGAATCATTTATTATCGTTTGTAATGTGCTGCGTACTTTTCAACGTCCGCGCACTGTCAAGGTCCTACGGAATTGTGTAAAAGCTTGGGATGTAATTGCAGGGAAATCACGTCGAGATTGGGAAAGATTGAGGAAACAGTGAATCTTCCTGACTTCTTCTTCTCCTGTAAATCTCATCTTCTTCTGCAAACTTCTAATCGTATTTTCTTCAATCGCGCGCGTCTGTAGTTGCTCCAATATCGACCAAGAGACCAGTCGTCAATCTTTTTAACATTTTCCGATCGTGGTAATAACAGTGATGGAGTTTTATCGCACAGTTTCTGTATTACATTACTGCCGTACATAGAAAAGCATCGATTTTAAAATACTATTACGTAATCATTTTATGAAAATATCATATTTTACCTGAGCATTATTTTATTTTTATATCTTATTAATACGGTTAAGAAGTCGCTACGTTATCCATGCGGACATTGCGTGGCTTTTGTTTAATGGCAAACAGTCTAGGCACAAGTGCCAGGCCATCTATTATACCGTTCTCGTTATAAATCCCGTATAATTCGCCATTGGGGTGCTAATTCTGCGCGTGTCACGGACATTAACAGCCTAATGGTGGGCTAAAGCGCCTTGACACGGAGAATATTGTTCCACGAGTACGCCTCGGTAATTTAGGCAAGCGCTTCTACCGACAAATTCTTCCCCTGCTGTCTTTACTAAGAGCGTCAAGGAAATTAGTGAGAACTAGCATGCGAAAATTGACACGCTACACAATTAAGACTAAGTGTATTCATGCAGATACTTAAATCATCGTCGCATTCTATTTTAACTACAAAAATCTCTGTGAAATATTTAAAACTTTCACAATCTAAGATATCTATTTATGTAAGTTATTATGCGACATGCACAATGCCGAGTTGCAATTTGTTTTTGTTCTATTTGTTTTTGTCCGTATTTGTTGCAATCAGTGATATGAGCCTCGATTTCTAATTCTACCAGTAGTTAATCTTTACGGACGATCGGACAGATCTCCGTGCAAATTAGAAAGCAGAAACGTCGAATGGAATGCTTCCGAGCGATAAACTATTTCCGTTCGCCGAAGATTTAAGCTCTAAGGAAATTACGCGGGTTTGAACGGATCGACGTGTTTACTGATAAATCTCGACTAATCTCTAGATGAGGAGAGACGAGTCACGTAATCACATCGTCTGATCATTATATTTTAAAGTTAGACTAAAATCCATTTACACATACAAATATATTTAAAATCTCACAAATTATATATATATATGAGAAAATATATTACATATACATTATGTACCTTTTATAACCAAGTATTAATGGATTAGCATTTGCGTTGTTGCAAATTCAATCGGGTTGTTAAAAATATCCATTTGCATACTGAACACGTTAATTATCGATGCCATTTGCATTTCGTCGGGAAAAAGAAATTTACTGGATAAACTGTACAGCGTTACCGAGCATTTGCGTCATTTATCACTGTCCCTTTTTCACCGGCGATGTGTTATTTCGTCCGATGTTGGACCAGTAGTCGATCTCTGTAAACGATCGGACTCTCGGTCGGACGGCGCAGTCTGATCGCTGACAATAAAGCAAAGACGCGACTTGTTGTTCTGTAGAATACAAGAGTCGCCGAAATTAATGGCATGACAATTTATTTGCTGTAAACAATGTTTGTAACGAAACGTGACAAACGTGACTTTGCTACTTGCAGAATGTTCCGTCCCAAAAGTTGACGGACTAAATTCGCTAGCCACAAAAATGGCAATCACTGTTTGCAAAATTTAATATCCAGCTAGAAAATTTTGTTATAATTTTTCAAGAGACACAATGTAGAATGAATATATATAGATCTCTTTGATTTTCCTAAATATGTTTTTTATACTTATTTTATTATAAATTAATATTTTAATATTTATATATATAATTTATTTTATATTTGTCATTAAAATATATTTGTTTTAATATTTGGATAATAATTATACGTTTTCCATCGGTTACTAAATTGTGTCAAAGATACAAATAAATATTTTAGATAGCATTAATGCGTAACTTTAATTACAGTCGGCTAATTATTGTAATTGCTTCGTTAATATAAAGTGAACTTGCGTTAATGCATATAACTGTGAGCGTATTTACGAAATCTTCATACGTGATTGATGATTGTGCGTATATTCCAAACATTAGGCCGCTCTTTCTACATCCCATTACATCTTTTGCGTTCTCTCGCCGCAAAAGGTCAAAGCAGATCTCAAGTTACATCGTATTGTATCTGTCTTCCATCGATCTTCGTTCAGGCAATAATGGGAAATGGCGCGGGCATTCCAAAGCTTTTAGTTTAAAAATGGAAATGCTTTTAGACATTTGTATTTTTTTCAGGATCCCTAGAGTAGTTAATCTAACTGTCTACGCGAGAAAGTTCAGTATTTCTAATAATTTATACTGACAATGTAAATAGAAAAAAAAAACCAAAATATAATAGGTAATCTTATAATAAATTGACATGTTTAATTCTGATTTTATTTTGTGAAAATCAGAGTCTATTATACGAATTTTTTCTAGTAAAAATCTTTAAATACATCATTAAGACAAAGTCTAATTTTAGAAAGTAAGATATAATTAAGAAAAGGAAATTTTTACTCAAAAATTATGACTACTTGACTTTAAATTATTCTATCAACGTCATTTTTTTTGGATTTCTCTAGGATTTTATATGTTCACGCTTCTCGATATTCTTAGAGTATTAGCACCATCGGGCTTTACATGTAATAAAGAGCTAGAAAGATTATACGTGCACACACAAGGATTCTCACTCTTTTTTTTCTCCGGCTCTATTAATATTGAAGGTTATTACTAATAAATAGTGAGTTCCTTCTATTTTTCTTATCAATATAACTAATGTTCTAAATATTCATTTAATTTTACTAAATAATTTTATGATATATTTGATGCTAATATTTGAATTAAATAAGTGAACCTGTCTGTTTAATAATGAAATAGGTCTTGGCTGCCTCAGTCAAATTGAATATTAAGAGCTGAGTTTGTAGTTTCTAGTATGTGCCAAAAAACAAAAAGGCACATAAAAAGATGCGAATATCTAAGGAAGTCAGAAATCTTAAACATATATATTCGATTCAATACAATTCCAATTGGATTCACATTTAGATCGCTTTCTTTTTATAATAGTTGCATGATTTTAGAGATTTTCTTTATTATTATGATGTACAGGAATAGCTCGGTAACATATTTTAATGACAGATTTCTTTTAATAATTAATTAGAAAAATTTTCTTAATTGCTAATAGTTTTCAAGTTATAAGTGACAGAAAATAAATGATCTTTACTAAGTTTTGAAAGCAAATAGATAAGAACATTTTCACACATTTTAAATAAACCTGGAGTTTTAAAGTTTTAATGGATTAATATAATTTCAGGATTTTACATATAAAGAATTTAATGTTGGAAGTAAAGAAAGGCTTCTATTGTTTGGTCATAATACAAATCTTTTCAAAATTCAACAAGAATGTATTATTAAAGTTTAATGCGGTGTATAACTATCGTTTATATAGGTAAAGCATCATTTTACCCCTATGAATATTATTTCTCAAAGCAAACATAATATTTCTCGTGGAGTTACTGTCGCGGTATTTCTGCTTTTAATCTGCGAAGGAACGTTTAAAGGGTTCTCCAAGCAGACGAGCGTAAGCGGCGAGAGTTAGATGGTCGTCCTTTTGTGGATAGATAATGAGAGACAAAGATAGATGAGATAGAACGGAGGAAACTTCATGTGTCGGGATTATCGGGATACTCGCCCTTCATCTCTCGTTTATTCGTGGTGGATGACCTCGATACCGCTTGATATTGCCATTTTGAATGACTGATTCAACTTGTCACAGTGATTCAAATGTCGATTTTCACTGTCGATTTTCATTCGTCGGGCTCTCTTCGTTTTGAATAAAAATAGGAGATCAATACTCCAGTCTCTTTCAGGCTTATTATATTTTTTTTCAGATGGTAATACAGATTAACGGAAGATTCACATGTGGCTGCTGCAGATATCTATGATAGATCGTTACGACATGCAAAAACACCGACTCAACTTTATAGATCGCGCTTATAACGAATCCATACTTTTATTTCATGTTAAACTATTTGTTTTTTTTTATACTACAGCTTTTTGAGCATAAATGCTCAACGGGCATTTATAAGTATTTGGTGAATTTGTCTTTGCGAATACTAGCGTACTCAGACGTTCGTTTTTTCTTTACGAATGCGATTTTTCGATATATGATATATAATGGATGTTAAAAC